AACTTCTGGTAGGATTAATTTACCACCACACACAGAATGAAAGCACTGACTCACTACCTTCAGAGTTCTTAAATCAGAAGCATCTCAAAAGAGAAGTAGGCAGAAGAAAAGCATTCTGTGTCCACTATGAACCATCAAAACTCATTTTGCATCACTTTCTACAAAGAGGTGCATTATATTTTCAAACCTGTCTTTCTAAGCCTTCCTTTTCCCTGTAGTAAAAAGAATCTAATTATAAGTGGCAATTAATATCTATGCTTCAATAAAAGTAGCAATAAAATGATAAAACATTGGCTTTTTAAGATAAGCTAAAATGTTTCTAGAGGAGTCCTTAATATATATTCATTTGGTTTATTTTAAGGATTATCATAACAACAAACAGAATTAATTTACTATAAATCTGAAGAATAGTGAAAGGCAATATCAATATTACAGTATTATGGAAGAGCCCAATAAGAATATAAACTTCAGTACACTGTACATGTGAAGGCAAAAAAAATTTCTCTGTGTATTCACTTTTATTTAAAAAAAAAATCATTAGACTTTGAGACAGAAATCTGAAGCAGAAATAGTTTCTTTGGTGACTTAATTGTTCATATTAACACTCTCTATTGCAAGGATGTTCATTCAGGGGTGCTGGAACAATTTTTATAGTGGGAGTGCTGTGATTTGTGGAATCAAACTGTAAATCTTGTATTTAATGGGAACCATTTCAAGCCAGGGAGTGCTACAGCACTCCCTGCACCATTAATTCCAGCACCTGTGTGTCCATTGGCATTTTTTTCCCAGTATGCCTTTCCCAACCCATTAATCCAACAAAATCAAGCAGCTGGAGCCATACAGTGAAAATTTTGAGATTGACAGTGCTAGCTGCATCCTTCTGTATTCCAACAGGTTATCTGTTCTGTTTTTCCTTTCTTATTGCTGAGGAAATGGCATATCCTCCCAGGCATTTATCAGTAGTTATCTAAGTGCAAAACAGTGAACGAACATGAAATATTAAAATTAAAGGGACAATCCAACTAACCCAAGCATTCACACAATTCATGACAATTGATAGGGATTCAGGGCAAGCCTCAGGTGCTTTCCCAAACCATCCCTCGAAGTGAAAGGGGTGAGTTCTCATTTTGCGTATAGAATAGCCATGAGAAAGGGTAGAAAACAAAAAGAACAGAGAATAGGAGAGGGGCAAACTTTGCTAAATATGAAGATTGATTATATAAATAGGACTTACATTGTTCCCGAAAATCTGCAAACATGTGATTCCAGCAGTGAAGGGTGAAGAGTGTTCCACAACCAAGGACCCCTATCAAGAGTGTCTGGCTTCCATCTTGGTTAGGACTACAGGACAGCATCCCTTCTCAGGCCTGTAATTTGTTGGGCAAACACTTAGACGGGGAAGAAGGTATTGCGCAAGTTCCTGGGACCTAAATTATGAAATATATCTTTTAGAACACCAAGACTATGTATGTGCCTTTTTGTTTACTGGCAACTGGTGTAGACTGGAGAGAGTAGTTGTAAGTGACCTGCAAGGGTTAGGGCCCGAGTTGGAAATATTGTGACATATGTCTAACTCAGGTCACTGTTTGATATAGTTCAATAGATTGTTTTCTATGATAGATTTTTATTATTCATTATACAGCATGGCACATGCTGTTCATCAGACGCATCTCATAGTATGCTACAGCAACACCTAAGAAGCAGAAAAGTTTGTATTTCTTAGCTCATTTCACACTCTGTCTTTTTTATATGACTGTGATTGTTCTTCTGATGATACAGAAGTTTGTATGTGAGCCCTTTTTATTAGATTCATTCACTCAATTGTGCTTCCATCACACCTTTAAAAGTATTCTACATCCAATCAGTACACCGACACACCATATTGTAATGGTTGGATGTTATAATTTCATAATATTATCATGGCATGGACATTGTTGGTCCATTTGATTTGACTAATACATCTATCTATCTATCGATCGATCTATCTATCTTTTCACTTAGTGGCATATTTACTTAGTCTACAGTATGCAATTTTTAGGTTTATGAAGCCTTATCAGTATCATGATGTTTGATGTGAATGTTTTATTTTATATTTTGTTAAAGGCATAGTGTTCTTATTTCTCTCCTTTGTTCCAGAAGTGGGAGAGAGCACAAGGCTAGGCTCAGCCTTATTACCAGTGCAGGACAGCAGAAGGTGATAGTGATGTGGATAGTAGTAGTGAGCCCAGAAAGTATATATTTGAAAACCCCGGATTGGTTTTCAAATATAGGCTGGACTGGTGGTGCTGGGAGAAGTGCTGACTTACAACATTTGAACAAAGGATATTTTCCTGCATTTCTCTCAGACCTCTGAAGCTACTGTGCCTTTTATCAGAATAATATTTCTAAACATCTGCACTTAGATAGTGCACTTCATCCCCCTCTCATCTTCCCAGCTCATCTTAGGCTTGTGTGAGCCATAATTGAGCTCCTAATAGTTAAAAGACCATAATGTGATTTTGTCTGTGTTTGCCACACGTCCCTCAGTATCCTGTGGGATCATCTGCACACGTTAACAGGTGCAAACTCTGCATGATGCCTTTCTCTGGTGAAAAAATACAATTCTTGTTTTTTCAGTTTATGTCAAGTAAATAAAATGTATTTTAAAGAGCAAATTCATATGTACAGGAGAGAACATGTTAACTTCAAACATGTATCTGTAATTTACTGGCAGAATAAACTGCCATTAAAGACATCTCTGTATTACATCTCTCCCTTAATTTTCTCATCTGCAAAGTGATTATATGAGAATTGGTAATTTTATAAAGTGCTTTGAAAGTGCAAAGCCATGTTTTGTTGTTAGTTTTGCCGAGGCCACCTCCTCTGACAGTATGGCAAGGGGTGCTTAGGGTCACCAGAGTAACCCAACTGGCCCCCATAGATTTCAGCCTGCTCCCTCTTAATTGATGTTACCTCTGATTTCATTTGGAATTCAGGATTGGAGAAGGGGCAAGGAGATATGAGGTCTACCCCAACTAGTTATCAGAAACCACGAAACATTCCTTCTCTCACTGCCAGCAACTCATCCAATGAATTAGGGTCAGAGACACCTCATAATACTTAGCATTGTTGTTAGTGGTTCCTTAGCAACCAAGGCTCTAACAGTGATTGTTGCTATGGTTCTCCCAAAACTTTCTACAGTATTATGAGATGTTTTTGTCCTTTTACTTAACTTGTAAGCTATTTTCAACAAGAGTGCTTCTCTTTCTAATGGATTAGTGCTTGCAGTTTATAGTATTTTAACAAGAAAAGTGTTTAAAATATATATTTCTAAGAATTGCCTTTATTGGAAAAAAGTATCACTAACCAGCCAGTGTGTGATATGGTATAATAGGATAGCTTGGCCCTAACACTGATTACAAGATGAGCCCACCTGAAAGGAATCAAGTGATTCCAACATAAAAGACAGCAGGGAGTTACGGGATGAGGTGTGGCAGAGAGAGGAGATCAGGCTGCCTCAGGCAGGAAACCTGGCAGCTGGAGCAGGGGCTGGTGGTGGGAGTTGTGTAGGAGTTAAAGAAGGAAAGATAAGCTAAACAGCTCTGTTTGTTTTGGACTTTCTCGGTCTGTGGTTTTTTTTAAACTGTTGCCAGTTGAGCACTAATGAAGAGTGAATTAAAGGATTTGAGGTTGGAAGGTCATTGGAGGCTGAATGAATTCTTAGAGGGGCCTGGATGAAGGTGAAATAGAGACATATCAGTCACAGAAGGAGTGCTCGGGGATGCTCAGGAGGCAGTAAATAGCCACCAAGCTACATATAATGCGTATGATTTTTATTTTGTTTTATTTTTATTCAGTCATCCAAGTGAGTTCTGGTAAAACTTATATATCATATTGTGCCATCCTATAGTTTGTTCATGTGAGACATTTCAAAGAAAAGAGGCTTGAGAGGTTTATCATCATTTTCATTACTATTGCTATTTCTCTCTCTCCGTCTATAAATCCTGGTTTCCTTCAAAATCTTGTGATTCTGAGATTTGAAATACTGTAAACTGCTTGGGCTGCATTTGAATGTTTATATACCAGTGTTATATATCACATCTGTTAGTCTATAAGGTGCCACAGGACTCCTTGTCATATATACCAGAAGAAGTCTTAGGAATCGCTCAGTCAACTTGGAAGATATGAGACCACAAAATTATTGTTGGCCCAGAATTAGCTGCAACAAGATCTTGACCTTGGAATCATAGGGTGTGTCTAGACTACATGCCTCCGTCGACGGAGGCATGTAGATTAGACAGATCGGCAGAGGGAAATGAAGCAGCGATTAAAATAATCGCGGCTTCATTTAAATTTAAATGGCTGCCCCACTCAGCTGATCGGCACAGGTAAACCTGGTTTCACGAGGCATACCTGTGCCGATCAAGAAAGGCTTCTTTGTCGACACGGTGCGTCCAGACTGCCCCGATCTGCCGACAAACAGCTGATCGGCAGAGCGGGGCAGCCATTTAAATTTAAATGAAGCTGCGATTATTTTAATAGCGGCTTCATTTCCCTCTGCCGATCTGTCTAATCTACATGCCTCCGTCGACGGACGCATGTAGTCTAGACACAACCATAGAATCTCAGAATAGTAGAACTGGAAGGACCTCGAAAGATCATGAAGTCCAATCCCCTGCCCTCAGGACAGGACCAAACACCATCTACCTAGATCATCCTTGATAGATGTCTGTCCAACCTGCTCTTAAATATCTCGAGTGATGGAGATTCCGCAACCTCTCTGGGCAATTTATACCAATGTTTAACCACCCTGACAGGAAGTTTTCCCTAATGTCCAATCTAAACCTCCCTTGCTACAATTTAAGCCCATAGCTTCTTGTCCTCTCATCAGAAGCCAAGGAGAACAATTTTCCCCCTCCTTCTTGTAACATGTTTAGATATTTGAAAACTGCTATCATGCCCCCTCTCAGTCTTCTCTTTTCTAAACTAAACAAGCCCAATTCTTTCAGTCTTCCCTCATAGCTCATATTTTCTAGACTGTTAACCGCTTTTGGTTGCTCTTCTTTGTACCTTCTCCAATTTCTCCACATCTATCCTGAAATGTGGTGCCCAGAACTGGACACAATTCTGTAGTTGAGTCTAATCAGCACAGAGTAGAGTGGAAGAATTACTTCTCATGTCTTGCTCACAGCACTCCTGTTAATGGATCCCAGAAATCATGTTTGCTTTTTTTTCAACAGTGTCACATTGTTGACACATAGGGTACGTCTAGACTACATGCCTCTGGCGACAGAGGCATGTAGATTAGGCTACCCGACAGAGTAAAATGAAGCGGCAATTTAAATAATCGCCGCTTCATTTAAATTTACATGGCTGCCGCGTTGAGCCGACAAACAGCTGATCAGCTGTTTGTCGGCTCAACGCGGCAGCCATGTAAATTTAAATGAAGCGGCGATTATTTAAATCGCCGCTTCATTTTACTCTGTCGGGTAGCCTAATCTACATGCCTCTGTCGCCAGAGGCATGTAGTCTAGATGTACCCATAGTTAGCTTGGTATTCACTATGACCCCTAGATCTCTTTCTGCAGTACTCCTTCCTAGACAGTCTCATCTGTATGAAACTGTTCCTTCCTAAGTGGAGTACTTTTACTTTGCATTTGTTCTTATTAAACTTCATCCTATTTACCTCTGACCATTTCTCTACTTTGTGCAGATCATTTTGAATTATTACCCTATCCTCCAAAGCACTTGCAACCCCTCCTTAATAAGCGTACTCTCTATGCCAATATCTAAATCGCTGATGAAGATATTGAATAGAATCGGTCTCAAAACATACCCCTGCGGAACCCCACTTGTTATGCCTTCCAGCATGTCTGTGAACCATTAATAACTACTCTCTGAGTTTGGTTATCCAGCCAGTTATGTACCCACCTTATAATAGTTGCATCTAGGTTGTATTTCCTTAGTTTATCAATAAGAAGGTCATGCAAGACTGTATCAAATGCATTACTAAAGTTTAGGTATACATGTCCACTGCTTCTCCCTTATCCACAAAACTTGTTATCTTATCAAAGAAAGTTATCAGATTGTTTTGACATCATTTGTTCTTTAAAAATCCATGCTGGCTGTTACCTATCACCTTATAATTTTCCAAATGTTTGCAGGTGAATTCCTTAATTTCTTGCTCCATTGTCTTTCCTGGCACTGAAGTTAATCTGACTGGTCTGTAGTTTCCTGGGTTGTTCCTATTTCCCTTTTTATGGGCACTATATTTACCCTTTTCCAATCTTCTGGAATCTCTCCCAACTTCAGAGATTTTTCAAAGATGATAGCTAAAGGCTCAGATACTTCCTCTATCATCTTCTTGAATATTTTTGGGTGCATTTAATCAGACCTTGGTGACTTGCAGACATCTAACTTTCCAAGTAATTTTTAACTTGTTCTTTTTTATTTTAACTTCTAAACCTACCCCATTTCTACTAGTGTTCACTATGTTAGCCATCCCGTCACCATCAATCTTCTTGGTGAAAACCAAAATAAAAAAGTTGTCAAGCTCCTCTGCCATTTCCAAGTTTCCTGTTATTGTTTCTTTCTCTCTTCATTGAGCAGTGGGCCTACCCTATCTTTGGTCTTCCTCTTGCTTCTAAAATATTTGTAGAATGTTTTCTTGTTACCCTTTATATCTCTAGCTAGATTGAGCTCATTTTTTGCCTTTTTCCTTTCTAATCTTGCCCTTGTACACTTGTGTTATTTTCTTATATTCATCCTTTGTAATTTGACCTACTTTCCACTTTTTATATGACTTCTTTTTTATTTTTAGATCATGTAAGATCTCGTGGTTAAGCCAAGGTAGTCTCTCGCCATACTTTCTGTGTTTCCTATGCAGTGGAATAGTTTGCTTTTGGATCCCTTAATAATGTCTCTCTGAAAAATTGCCAATTGTCTACAGTTGTTTTTCCTCTTAGTCTTGCTTCCTCTGGGTTCTTACCTACCAGCTCTCTGAGTTTACTAAAATCTGCCTTCCTGAAATCTATTGTCTTTATTTTGCTGTTCTCCCTTCTACCAATCCTAATAATCATGAACTCTGTGATTTCATGATCACTTTCACCCAAGCTACCTTTAACTTTCATATTTTCAACCAGTTTCTCCCTATTTTTTTTAAATCAAATGTAGAACAGCTTCCCCCCAGTAGCTTTCTCAGCCTTCTTATCCAAGAACTTGTTGGATAATCTGCGCCTGCTGTGTTAGTTTCCCAATATGTGTCTGGATAGTTGAAGTCCCCCATCACCACCAAATATTGTACTTTGGATGATTTTTTTAGGTTAAAAAAAGACTCATCCACCTCTTCTGCCTGAGTAGGTGGTCTGTAGTAAGACTCCTAACATGACATCACCCTTGTTTTTACCCCTTTTTAACCTAACCCAGAGACTCTCAACAAGTCTGTGTGCTATGTCCATCTCAATCTCAGTCCAAGTGCATACATTTTGAATATATAAGGCAACACTTACTCTCTTTTTTCCTGAGCAAGCTGTACCCTTCTGTATCAATATTCTAATCACATGTATTATTCCACCAGGTCTCTGTAATACTAACTATGTCATAGTTGTGTTTATTTATTACCACTTTAAGTTCTTCCTGTTTTATTCCCCATATTACTTGCATTTGTATACAGGCATACAAGAAACTAATTTGATTTTGCCCCCAGTTCTGCCTTGTTCCTACTTTATCTCTGCTGTTATATCCCATGGTCCCTCCAATTTCTGACCCATCTCCCAGGTCTCCATGTTTTTCACTTAACCTATGTGCTTTGATCACTTGCCCCCGTTGAATCTAATTTAAAGTCCTCCTCACTTGGATCAGTGTAATTTCTCAGCTCATGCTGTTACCTTATCCAAATTGCCATATGTCAAAGAAGAAAATGGTTTTGTGTACAGTTTTTTTTTATTTAAAAACAAAAGGTGTGTTAAATCCCCCAAGCATCATAGTGGAAGTATTGCCACATTAGAAAGTGAATTAGTTTTAATCTATACTGTGTGTTTTTATAGGGCAGGCACTATCCTTTTTATTGCAGACTTTTCTTCCTGGTTGATACTCCTAGAATACTACTGCAGAAATGCTATTAAGAAGTACTTTTCCAGATCCTTATCGGATACTGCTGAAATCTCATGAGAACATGCATTTTCATGGAATTTTGGATAGCGGTGGTAACAGAAAAGAAACTAAATAAATACAAAGCTATGAATATTACTATCTTTACCAAATTATTTTTAATATGTGCAAAAATGTAACATGTTCAGAAATACATTGTTGTGATAAACATTCATCTCTAATAGATGAGTTGGCTGGATGATGTCATTTGGCTGATCTTTTCAATGGAAGTAAAAATAAATTAGTTTTTGTTGCCACCAAATTATTCCTATTTGAAGTGTTTAAACTTTACAAGACTAAGAAGTTGGCTCTCTGAATTGCTCTTGTAATTTTCAGTACTTTCATAATTTAATCATCTTCAGGCCCATTTCCCCCCCCCCCCCCCTCTCTTTCCATGTTATTTTAAATAAAGTCATTTCCAGAGGTAGGCAAAACTAAAATTAGAGCACTGTTAAGCTTAACAGTCACTCTCAAATTTGGGGAATTATAAAAGTAAAGGAAGATCACAGTGTTCATTTAAAATGGTTAAAAATAGTTTCTATCACTTTTTTTGTAGAGAGAGATAAGGAAATGTAAACAAATATAAATTGATGGCAATCATCTTCTAGGCTTGAAAGCAGTATCCAATAGGACTTTATTTCTGCAGTGGAAAGTTGGGGGAAGGGGAGAAATTTTGGTTATGTGAGCAGGTGAAACACTGTTACTAGACCTACCGAAAAATCTTAAGGCTAGATTTTAGAATAGAAGAAAGCAGATAAAATGATGTATTTTCTATATTCAGTGTGTCATTGGTCCATGTCTATAAAAAAATGGAATATGGACAAAAGAAATGTGCTACAAATATTATTGTATGAATACCAATACATGAGTGTCAAATTAAAACAATGTTGATCTATAACCAGGGCTCGACAAATCATTGAATCTACTCGCCTGTGGCGAGTATATTTTAGCCAGTTGCCCCGTTCACCCGTGGCGCGCACATGCGCAATGCGGGTCTTGCACATGCGCAGTGTGGGGCTGGAGAGCAGATTTCGCCACCGTTTGTCAAGCCCTGTCTATAACCATGACCAGAGTCCTACACTCATAGTTCCTTATCTGAATTTCCTTTCCCTTCACAAAAATATTTAAGATGGGCACTGAGGGAAATGGCATGCAATTTC